TTAATTTTTTGTATAAATTCATTTTTTTTTTAATTTTTTGTATAAATTCATTTCTTTTTAAATTCTTTGTATAAATTCATTTTTTTTTTTAATTTTAAATATATGGAATTATTGAAAAAATTAAAAGATTATAATTTTCGCAGCCTCCTTCGTTGGGGGACCTAAACTATTCTTGTACAAAACAAATTCTACTTTTAGCGGCCTCCTTCGTTGGGGGACCTAAACTAAACATTTACCAAACAATTTTTGATGTATTTAAAAACCAAAATGACGTTATATTTTAATAAAATAATTTTAAACATTAATACATTTTTGATACATACAGACATTAAGTTAAAGTTTCTGCCAAATACACAAATGCATTTTAACTTCACTGCACATAATTTAATAGATAACCACTAGGAACCCTCTAAACGTTTCGCCAAAATTTCCAGCATCACAAACCAGTAAATAGAATAATTTCAATCATTGTAGAAATATCAACACCAGTAAACAAGACAAATATTACGCTAGAGAAAAAACGTTACGTGTATACACTCGATACTCTTCCTACATCTCTAAGTATTCCCGATATCGTTTCATAGCAGAACTTAACTGAGTGTTGCTAGCCAGATATTAAGAAAACGGATTATATGGTTTTTGAAATATTTGCAGTTAGAGATAACAAGTTTACAATTTAAAATAAAGGGTCGGCTTTAGAATAACGTCCCACGCTTTCGGGGATAAAACGGGTATGGGCGGATAGAGGAGATCCTCCAGATCAAGAATATATATAGATATAGCCACGGGAAACTTATAGTTTTCGAGATATTTACGTTTAAAGTTGAAAATTTCAACAATTTAAAGTACGTATTTTTGCGAGTTAAAATGAATTATGCACTTATATTTTTCACTTTTATATCCACTAACACTTGACTAATTCGTTTTTAGAAATTATTTTTATATTAGATGCTGCAAAAATAGCTTTATTTCAATATTTAAATCATTCCTTAATTTTATTAATTTTGACAATAACAAAATGGTTGTGAATGTCAAAACATCAGTGTTGCCATACTAATATATTTTGCAAACGAAGAAAAATAAAATAAACAGAGAGATTGTATCCTAGATACAGGAAACAACGCAAAAAGAATTTCTGCGTGTAAAATCTTTGGTACACCCCGTTGTTGGATCGACCAGGGTTATTTTTTTTTTTGGAGCGCGGCCGAAGGCCGCCAATGCAAAATGGAGTTCTGCGCAAAAAAACCTTGATACACCCCGGTGTTGGACCGACCAGGGTTATTTTTTTGAAGCGCGGCCGAAGGCCGCCAACGCAAAAAGAAGTTCTACAAGAAAAAGTAATATTGTCATAGAGGGTATAACATAATACTTAACATCAATGCTTTGTAATAGTTTATTTCTCTAGGTTTTGGATACCTGTATTTGGGGTATTATCTGTCTTAATTTCTTTCAGTTCAATTACAAAAGATGTCGATAAGGTAACACTGGTTATTTGAAATTTTGCAACCCTTTTGTTATTGTCAGAATTAATAGAATTTAACAATAATTTAATTATTGAATTAAACTATTTTTGCACTATATAATGTAAAATAAATGTGTACAAACGAATTAGTGAAGTGTTAGTGGATATAAAAGTGGAAAATATAAGTGTAAAAGTGTATCAGAAATAAGTGCTACCATATTTTGCAAACGAATAAAAACAAATAAAAAACAGGATTAAAGCGTCAATACAAAGATCGTAACCGTGTGATAAGTCACGAAACATATTTAGGAATTTTCTTGGGTAAATTTTATAATAGCATCTTCCGAATTTGCCGTTAAAATAGGTATGTACGGATAGAAGAGGTTCTCCATATTAAGAATATATATTATATATATATAAAATTACCGCTGACCGATGAATTTCAGATATTTGCATTTAAAGGTCAAAAATTCAACAGTAGAAAAATAACTTTAAATCAATATTTAACTTTTGATGGATTCCTTTATTCACAACGGGTTGCATTCTACAAATAATCAGTGTTACCTTATCTACATATTTTAGTAAGGTAGGGTTAGGCTGGATTTTAAAAATAAAACGAAACTTTAGGCTACTTAGGTTCCAAGAAGAATAAAGAAAACAAATAATACCCCAATGACAGGGTATAAATAACCCATTAATAGTTTTTCGCATAGAACTCTTTTTTGCGTTGCTAGCCTTGAGCTGCGTTTCTGAAAGATTTTGTGATACTAGCCAGACGTGCAACTATTTTAAGTACGTATTTTTTCGATTTAAAATGAATTATACATGTATATTTTTCATTTTTACTTTACTAATTCGTTTGTACACATATATTTTACATTATATAGTGCAAGAATAGTATAATTCAATATTTTAAATTATTGTAAAATTCTATTAATTCTTAAAGAAATGAAAACAGATAATAATAATAATACCCCAAATACAGGAATCCGAAACCTAAAAAAACAAGCTATTAGAGAGCATTGATGTTAAGGATTGTTATACCCTCTATGACAATGTTTCTTTTTCTTGTAGAACTTCTTTTTGCGCTGGCGGCCTTCGGCCTCGCTTCAAAAAAAATAACCCTGGTCGGTCCAACACCAGGGAATACCAAAATTTTTTCGCGCAGAACTTTTTTTTTGCGTTGGCGGCCGCACTTTAAAAAAAAAATAACCCTGGTCGGTCCAACAGAGGGGTTTATCAAGTGAAGGAGAGTAAAAGATTTAATAGTGTCCATCAACTGTGTTATTTGACATTTACAACACTTTTGTTATTGTCAAAATTAATCAAATTGAAGAATGATTTAAATATTGAAATAAAACAATTTTTGCATCATATAATATTTTAAAAAAATGCCGAAAAACGAATTAGTGAAGTGTTAGTGGAAAAAAATCGTACTTGAAATAGTTGAAATTTTTAACTTTAAAAGTAAATATTTTGATAACTATAAGTTTTCCGCGGCTATATCTATGTACATTCTGAATCCTCGATCCGCTCATACCCATTTTATCCCCGAAGGCCTGAGACGGTATACTAAAGCCGACCCCATGGTTCTCTTGCGTCAAATTCTTTTCTATACTGGCAGCCTTCGGTGAAGCTTTATAAATAAACTAACCCTAGTCGGTCCAACACCGGGATTTACTAAAAAAATAAGGAAATTTTTAAACAGTTTGCGTTACACATCACACGACTATGAATTTTGTCTTGACAGTGTAATCCTTTCTTATTTAAATGTTCTTTTTATGTATTGTAACGGATTTCTCGATAAATCGTCTACCTGTAACTCACTCTTGAGTTCGATCACTGGATTGTTAAATAAAAGTCCCAATTTAGAGGCTACACACTTATCTTTATTTCTAATTCCAACAACTTAACACTTATTGCTCGTTATTTGAGCTTACAACTTCTTGCTTATAGCTTAATTGCTCTTATCACGACAACACTCTAACTAGAACTGTGTTTGCTGCACAATCTGACAGCCCTTATATAGTAAATCTGTAACAAAACATTGCTTCTAGAACATTCTGGCAACTACGAATTCGCTAACTAGTTGCTTCTGGCAGTTTATCGTTGATTCGATTTTGTTCTATCATCCGTGTTCGTCACAGTATTTTTGATTGCAACCAGCAATTTTGATATTGTATTCTGACAAACACGGATGATAGAATAAAATCGAATAGGCGATAAGTTGCCAGAATTTTCTAGTGTTGAATGTTAGTTAAAGATCAAAAATATTGTAACGGATTTCTCGATAAATCGTCTAAATATATTTCACTCTTGAGCTCGATCACTGGATTGTTAAATTAAAGTCCCAATTTAATACTATGTTCGCACCGAATTAAAATCTTTTTGAAATCACAATTTGTGGATTGTGGAACCAAAGTCATTCTGACCGAAGTGTTGTGTTTTCGATGAGTTTTCATTGACAGTTCACACATCCATTTGTTTACATTTGTTATGTACCCTACAAGAACAGTGAGGTCATCTGATGGGTAATATCACAGTCATAGTTGAAAAAATTTTGTCAGCGCGCATGACAATGTTTCTATCATTTTCTTAAGATCCTTGTTTTCTTTTTCTTTGATTGTTTTGTTGTTTCTTAGTCATCGCTGACCATAAATCCGTCATAGCTGAAAATTGTCAGGTCGGACTGACACGCTATCAGAAGTGAAAAATTCTTTTGCGCAGTAGATAATATAATTTTTATTTCTTTAATAAATTTCAAACTATTTATCAAAATTAGTTATAATAATATACCTAAATATAAAAAGGAATGCAACAAAAAGTATAATAAAATATGAAAATATAAAAATAAATTATTTATTGATGCCATCTCCTCGTCTCAATAGCTCTCCGTACGTCTTTCTCCAATCAGTGTATAGTTCTGAATTTAAAAATGCAAATGTAAATTAACAGTACTGACATATCAAATGCGAGTGTATTGGTGAACCCATCAGCAGTTTCTTGTAGGGTACGTCTATTCCAATTATGGAATCTAAACAAATTGTCAACTGACATTTAGGGTTGGCAAAATATGTCTTCTAAAAATATCGATTAAGCTAGAGCAGGCACCGATTATAATGAGTGGAAGGTAAGTTTTAAAGGGGTTTTCAGCGTAAACTGTGTTATTGTTTGACAGATTTTGTATGGATGAAAACACAAATTTTCACGTAAAATCCTCTTTTGTCTATGAAAACACGAATTTTGTGTCGGTGCGAACTTAGTATAATGCTATACACTTATCTTTATTTCCAATTCCAACAACTCAACACTTATTGCTCTCTATTCGAACTTACAACTTATTGCTTATAGCTTAATTGCTCTTTACGCGGCAACACTCTTATTAGAAATGTGTCTGCTGCACAATCCGGCAGCCCTTATATAGTAAATTTTTAACAAAAGTTCGCTACTAGAACATTCTGGCAACTACGAATTCGCTGTCTTGTTGCTTCTGGCAGTTTATCGTCAATTCTGATATGTTTTGGTGCTCCTGTTCGCCACAATAATAAGGTCTGCCGTCAATGATGACATGATGCTTTTTTTCGTAATTCATATTGCATATAAGTGTACGTGCTTTTGGTTTGTTTCTTTCGTACGGTAACTCGCGTTGCTAGCGTACAAAAAACCAGTTTATATTGGTGATATTTTGTTTATTTTGGCCCAAGGGCCTCCTAACCTCCGGGACAATAGGTTTGCTTTGCTTGCCTCTAGCACCAACCCCAAAAGAAAAAAACTGACATATAAACCTTTTGACAATTTTCCAGAACTACCCCAAATTAAAAAAGATTGCCCTAAGTTTGTTCTTATCTCCGCAACAGATTCAAACAAATCACTTTCCAAATACTATTGCTTCGCTGTGCATGAAAGCTGAGAATCAATTAGTAAAGAAATTGTGTATATCACCGAATTGCTTGATGGTAATCTACTTTTTCTTGTTAAAAAAGCGGAAAATTGCTGAAAAATTTTTAACAACAAAGAAATTACATGGAAGTGGTGATATTTCTGTGAAACTACATGACAATTTGAATTGCTCGAAAGGTACAATTTATGCGCCATTCTTAAATGACGTTTCAGAAGAAGAAATTATCGATAATTTAAAAGATCAGGGAGTTACTTCCGTCCATAAATTCAGTAAAAATTTAGAAGGCAAACAAAAACCTAGCGGAGTGGTTCTCCCCTTCATTTGAC